TAGCGTACAAGGCCCTGAATTCAAGCCCTGGTACCACAGGAAAAAAAAAGAGAAGGTCCAGCTCTTGCGGTCAGTGAGGGCCAAAGGGCCCGGGCATCTTTCTGCCCGTGTCTTGGTGGACAGGAAGCCGAGTGAGGGGAGGAGCCAGGAGGGAGATGCACCAGGATCCGCCTCTTCCAAGTAGGCTCCGCCTCCTGACTTCACACCTCGCGCTTGCTCCCACCTACTCCAACCACCTTTCAGGCGCTCTACCTTTGGGTGTGTGAGGCTTTAGGGGAGATCCAGATGTGAACTGTAACAGCTGGCAAGGAGACAGATATGGCCTTAGAGAAGGAGCGGTCAGTGGTTTTTTGTTGTTTTTGTTTTGTCTGGGGCGTGTGTGGAGGGCGTGTGGGCGTCTGGAGGTCTGAGGCACAGAAGAGGAAGGAGCACAGGTTGCTTGCAGCTGCTGACCTCCTTCTGAGCTGTTTTCCCGTCCGAGGAGTGGGCCCAGGCACACTGGTGAAGACGGTACAGAAGCAGGACTCATCCCTGGACAGACATCCTAGGGGTGCCATGGCCGCTGAGAGGTTCTGCTATGCTTAATAGAGTGTTTGCGGGAACCTGGAAGCCACACTGCTAACCTAGGGACCTGCAGTCACTCTCAGTGTTAGATTGCTTGGGTTTTGGCAGTCTGCCCTCACGAAGGATTGCCAGGCAGAGAGCCCACCCCGGTAATGTTGCCACTGTCAGGAGAGGACAGAGAAAGCTGCACCTTTGTGTGAATAGCTAGAGCAAGTAAGTACTTTTCATTCTCTTCCTGAGTCCTCCCCGGGAGGGGAAGCCCAGCAGGTTCTACAGTGTTCTGCCGTATCCGGTGACCCCTTAGGATGGAGCACTGGCCTCTCCACAGTGAGGTTCAGAGCAGATACGTGGCTCGAGCAAGTTGACGATAGATGCTAGCAGCCTGAAGCGGAAGGGGACCCTCATTTTTACCTGTGAACTGAGCAATGTGACAGGGAAATCACCACATGGGAATAAATTTGGAACACTAAGATGTCAGTTTTAGTCACATTCCTCAGTTTAATTGCTATTTAAGCAGTGGCAAAAAGTAGAGTTTTTAAAACCTTGTATGAGCAGATAAACAGACATGTTGCCTGGAAAGTGCTTTCTTTAAATCCACCACCCTTATCTGTGCTTGAGGGGTGCTGGAGATTGAACCCAGACCTGTGTGAGGTGAGTGCTGCATCCCCCATCCTTCATCTGCCTTTTAAAAGACCTTGAATAAAAGACCCCAAAGGCACAGCAAGAAAGGCAAAAATAGAAAATAGGCAAATGAGTCTTCTGCATAGCAAAGGGAACACCAGAGTGAAGGGCCAATCTCCAGAATTGGAAAAACATGCCCAAATTATTCATTTGAAAGGATTGATATCTAGAATATATAAAGGACTCAAAAAACTTAACAACAAATAATCCAGTTAAAAATGGGCAGGAGCTGGGAGTATGTTCAGTGGTAGAGGATATACTTAACACACATGAGGCCATGGGTTCAGTCCCCAGCTCCAAAATACAAACAAAAAACAAAGGGCAAATGATCTGAGTAGACATTTCTCAAAAGAAGGACTACAAATGGCCCATAAATATATGAAAAACGCTCAGTATCGTTAGCTATCAAGAAAATACAATGCCAAGCATGGTGGCCCATGCCTATAATCCCAGCACTAAGGAGGCTGAAGCACTAAAGAGGATCAGTACAAGTTTGGGGCCAGCCTGGGCTACAAAGTGAGTTCAAGGCTAGCCTGATCTCATCGAGACCCTGTCTCAAACAAAAACAAAACAAAACAAAAGCTCACTGAGTTACTATCTTATCCCAGTTAGAACAGCCATTATCAAAAGACAAAAAGTCTAACAGGAAAAAATAAAAAGGGAGAGGAAAATGTTATTGTAACTCAGCATAGTCATTGTATCTTTTTTTCTTTTTTTGGTACTGGGAATCGAACTTAGGACCTTGCACTTGGCAGGCAGGCACTTGTGCCATTAAGCTGTATATATCCTTGGCCCAGTCATTGTATCTTTTTTTTTTTTGGTTTTTCTCCGGTACCGGGAACCGAACTCACGACCTTGCGCTTGCCAGGCAAGCGCTTTTTGCCGCTGAGCTAAATCCCCAGCCCCAGTCATTGTATCTTAAAACTGTAACTTGGCTGGGGATATAGCTCCGCAGCACAGCTCCTGCCTAGCAATGCAAATTCCTGAGTTCAATTCCTGGTACAAAAAAAAAAAAAAAAGAATCCATTAAAACTGTTACCTGTTTTAGTATAATTGTTTTTAATGTATTTTATGTGTTTTACGGCCTGTTAGTCTGGCTGTTAGTTTGTGTTTATGATAGTTACCTTGATAAAGACTTATAAAAAAAGAAGAAAAGAATTTTTTAAAAAATGGGGGAGGAAGCCAGGCACAGCAGTGCATACTTGTAATCCCATACTTGGGAGGCTGAGGCTAGAGGATTGAAGATTGCGAGTTCAAGGCCAGCCTGAACTGTGATGAGACCCTATCTCAAACAAACCAGGGAGATAGCTCAGCGGCACAGTGCCTGGCAGTTGCAAGGTCCTGAGTTTGGTTCCCAATACCACCAACCCCCCAAAAAAACAAAAAAAAAAAAATGGAGGGGAATGAAAAAAAGAGTTGGGATGTCTTATGTACATGTACAGTATCAATTCCCCACAAGAAATGTAATCATTATGTACTGTAAACGTACTAATAAAATTTTTTTAAAAAGACAAGTCTGCCAGGCTTATGCCTACAATCACAGCTCCTTGGGTTGGGAGGCTGACGCAGGACAATCTCAAGTCCAAGACCAGCCTGGGCAACTAAGTGAGACTCTGCCTCAAACTGAAAAATAAAAGGGGCTTGGTGTGTAGCTCAATGGTAGAGTGCCCCTGGGTTCGGTTCCCAGCTCTACAAAAGGGAAAACAGGTGGGGGCAGGGTAACCACAGATGCTGGAGATGGTGTAGGGAAGAGAGCTCTTGTACTTTTAGGTGCTAAGGATGGAATCCAGGACTTCACTCCTGTGAGCCAGGAGCTTTACCTCTGAACCATGTCCCCACCCCAGAAAAGAGAGCTGTGTGATTGTTTTGCGGTACTGCGGTACTGTGGTACTTCCTTTGTGCTCAGAAGGCTCCACCTAGAGTAGTGAAGGCGAAGCGTTTAGAGCTTTCGGTGATGCAGAGCGCTCTCTGCAGCGCAGGTGCCTCAGGTTCAGGTTCGCTACCACTGACCCAGACCTTTCACACTCAAGCTGCATTCTAGGCTCTCTCTTTAAAAAAAAAAATTTTTTTTTTTTTTAAATTTTGAGACAGGGTCTTGCTGAAAGGTCCTGCCCTTTTGACACAGGGCAACTCTTGAAAAGTTGCCCAAGCTTGTGATCTTCCTGCGTTAGCCTCCTGAGGTGCTGGGATTACAGGCATATGCCACTGAGTGGCTTAGAATAGAACCCTTAAAACACTGTTGCAGAGAATGTAAATCAGTACAGTCATTATGGAGGTCAGTATGAAGGTTCATCAGAAAAACTAAAAATAGACCTACTGTATCATCTAGCTGTCCCACTTCTAAGTATGTGACCAAAAGAAATGATATCAGCGTATCAAAGAGATACCTGAAGTGCCATGTTTATTGTAGCCTATTCACAGTAGCTAAGCTGTGGAATCAACCTAGGTACCCATCAGTGGATGAATGGGTTTTTAAAAATGTGGTATATGTACATAGAGTGAAATATTATTCAGCCATAAAAAACAAAACTCTGACATTTTCTGTAAAGTAGGTGGAACTGGAAGATTGTATGTTAAGTGGAGTAAACTAGACACAGTACAAGTTCTCTCTTGGGTTTGGAAGCCAAAAAATCTATCTGGATATAGAATAGTGATTACTAGAAGCTGGGGTAGGAAGAGGGGCAGAGGCAGGTGGATAAGGGGTGCCAAAAGACAGAAGGAGTAAGTTCTAGTGTTCCACGGCATGGTGTGACAGCCACAGTTACAATAACCTGTCACATGTAGAGATGGTACGGGCCTGGCTGGTACGTCTGTAACCCTGGCACTCGGGAGAGTGAGGCAGAAGGGTCAAGAGCCTGGGCTGCACAGCAAGGTCAAGGCTGGCCTGGGCTGCACGGTGACGCTCCGCCTCAAACACCACCACCACCCCCTGCCAACACAGAGACAGAAGCGCCGCTGGCCCTGGTTTGGTTAGTGTACACTGTCTGCGTGTGTTAAATTGGCACAGTGTACCCCATGGATAAGTGTACAGTTATGTTTTAATAAAAATAAATGTATGTAAGGGACTGGTACTGAGATTTATTTATTCCAGCCTTATGGGTTTCTATAGAACTATTCTGCTTTCCTATAATTTAATTACGTTTTGAGTAGTTTATTGATATCTTTTTTTTTTTTTTTTTTTAAAGCCCTGATAAATTTGCTGAAGTTCCTTATGTCAAATGAAACAGTTCTTTTGGCCAAGCACAACATTTTTACATTAGCCCTTATGGTAAGTAACAAAACAAGCATTTCTTTTTCTGAAGCCATGTGCTAAGTGTACCTGTTTGAAACAGAGACGAAGCTATAAAGGGAACAAGGCTGAATTTGCCTCAGGGGTCAGGATCTTAGACTGCTGCTTCTCACTCTCACCTGTGTGGTGGCCCTGGGATTCCTTCTGCTTCATGAGAGATGACCCGGCCAGGTGGGTGTAGGCAGAACTCTGTGTGTGAACAGTGACCTTGGTCCCAGCTAGAGACGTCACCGTAACAAAGTCCCTGGAACACAGTCCCTGGAACAAAGCCTCTCAAGGTGTCCCATTGGAGGAGCACTTCTGTCATGCTGGTTTTGGTTTCTGAGGGATATTACAGATGCCTGTTTATCTGACTGGTTGTCTTTTTACTATCTTCTTAGGGTTACCCAGTTCAGAAATACTCAACATTTAGAGGGGAAAGGTCCTGATTTGTAGCATTTACTGATTTCTGTTGTAGAACTTTACCCAGCAGCCAGTTCTAAGCTGCCAGCATGACCCCAGAGTCACACGGAGTGGGGAGGAGGTGTGCAGTAGCGCACCAGTCTGTGGCGGCCCACCGTTCAGTGCAGGAGCCACAGGGTCGTTTTGGGCACATAGGTACAGTAAAAGATGGACAGTGTTAGGAAGTGATAGGTTTTGAATATTTATTACCTTCATTTAACATAGTTTATTTAATAGTTTATATGAGTGGATTTTTAATAATGGCTGTGTTTTGTGACTCTTACAAAATCCTTGAAATTTTGACAGTCAGTTCTTTTTTTTGTTTTGTTTTGTTTTCTGGTACTGGGAATCGAACTCACAACCTTGCGATTGCCAGGCAGGCACTGTGCCACTGAGCTAAATCCCCAGCCTCTGGCAGTCAATTCTTGTAAGCCAGCTAGAGGTGGCTGTGGCATACCAACAATAATACTTGTTTGGTCTTCGTGGCCTGATGCCTGTTTATGAACTGTTGCTTCTCTTTTAGATTGTGAACCTGTTTAACATGTTTATCACGTATGGTGACACATTCCTGCCGACCCCCAGCAGCTACGATGAACTTTACTACGAGATTATTCGCATGCACCAGAGCTTTGACAACCTCTACTCTATGGGTAAGCTCTTTTCTTTTTACACTTCTTTCTCCACCTTGTCTATTTTTTGACAAGTAGGAGGAAAATGCTACACAAGTTTTCCACTAGTTGGTTGGTGCTGTTACTTGTTACAGAAGTATTGTAGTCTCTTCTCAGGCAAAGCTGAAAGCATTTTTGCGTGTAGGAACGTAGATTTCATCTCAGTGGAGAGCCAGTGAGCAGCCTTTGTAATGTGTGTGGAAGAGAAAGAACAGAGACCTGTGGGCTCAGGGGTGCCAGTGAGATGGAGGCGGAAGAGTGGGTGGGAATCGGCAGTGACAAATGGGAGAGTTTTGCTCCCAAGGGGCATTGTGTAATTTGAGAAAGTGCAGCCTTTTTAAGGAGTCTTACTGTGCCTGTATATTTTTAGCGTAACTTACAAGAAGAAATGGGCATTAGTTGGGCGTGGTGGTGCATGCCTGCAATCCTGCCACTCAGGAGGCACAGGCAGGAGGCCCCATGAGTTCGAGGCCAGCCTGGAATACAAAGTGAACTCAAGGCCAGCCTGAACTATACAGTGAGATCACGTCTCAGGAAAAAAAAAAAAAAAAAAAAATGGACATTAGTAATTAGCTCACTGACAGTTTTACTCTGCAGTCATAGTGAGTATAAGTTACATCTGAAAGAGGTCATGTCCCTGGAAGTGGAAGGAAAGGGCATAGTGAATCCTACCTGGGTTCGAAAGGTAAAGAGGAAATGTTTAAGAAAGTCGTTTATAGCTTTGCTATAATGTCTTAGTGAGAGCAGGGCTTTGTATTAGTAGGGTGATTTCAACTCAAGTATCAGAGAACTGATTGAAATTTTGGTTTTTTTGTTTTTGAGACAGGGTCTTGCTCTGTAACTTAGGCTGGCCTTGAATTCCCAGCAATCCTCCTGCCTCTGCCTCCCAAGTGCTGGGATTACAGGCTTGCACTGCCACACCTGGCCTTGATTTAAACTATTAAAATAATAAGAAAATTAGTACACTTTAAAGAACTCTAAGGTCAGGAGAATCTTTGCGAGTTTGAGACCAGCCTGGGCTACAGAGTGAGCTCAAGGCCAACCTGAGTTGCATAGCGAGACCCTGTCTCAAAAAGACCAAAAAAATAAATAAATTAATAAAGAACTCCTGGTGACATGATCAGTTTTTTCCCTGTTTCTTCACTTTCTCATGTAGAATAACAGCTTTAGTATCAGGTTACTTCCCCACATAACAAATTCTTTTTTTTTTTTTTTTTTTTTTTTTTGGTTTTTCTCCGGTACCAGGAACCGAACTCACGACCTTGCGCTTGCCAGGCAGGCGCTTTTGCCGCTGAGCTAAATCCCCAGCCCCCCCACATAACAAATTCTTGTTGCCGCATCAAACACCTTTTTCTCCCCCTCTCTCCCTCTCTTCCTCTTTTTGTTTGTTTGTTCTGTGGTTTTTTGAGACAGGGTCTCTCCCTGTGGCTCAGGATGGCTATCAACTCACTATGAAGCCCAGGCTGGCCTTGAACTCACAGTGATCCTCTTGCCTTAGCCTCTCCATTGATTACTTCACCACACCCAGCTCTCTTTCTGCCTTACTGAGGATTGAGCTCAGCATCTCGGCAATTAGCTGCATTGCCATCCATCTCTTTTTATTTTTATTTTGAGACAGGGTCTCAGTTTGTTGGGTTTGTTTGTTTTTGTTGCACTGGGAATTGAACCCAGGGTCTTTGCACTGAGTTACATCCTCAGCCCTTTTTGTTCTGAGGCAGGGTCTCACTAAATCACTAAGTTGCCCAGGGTGGGGCTTGAACTTGTCATCCTCCTGTTTCAGCTGTCTGCCCGTTGTGCTGGGATTGTAGGTGTGACCCACCATGCCTGGCTGAGAAAAACATTTCTTTTAGTTTTTTTTTTTTTTTTTTTTTTCTTTTTGAGACAGGGTTTCCCTATATGGTTTAGGCTGGCCTTGAACTCACTGTGTAGCCCACACTGGCCTTGGACTCGCAGCGATCCTCCTGCCTCAGCCTCTAAGTGCTGGGATTACAGGTGTGTACCACCATGCCCAGCCTAGTTAAATTTTTGAGTCATAATTTACATATACAATAAAATTCATCCTTTTGAATATACCATTCTGAGTTTTGACAAATGCATATAGTAGCATAATTATCATAAAAATCACGATATATGAGTTTTATCAGCCCCAAAATTCTTTTTGTGCTCTTGTGAAGTTACCTCTTTTGCCCACCCCCAGTCCCTAGCAACCACTAATCCATTTCTGTTGCTGGATTTTTCTCCTGCTTAGGGCTGAAAGACATTGTGATTCTTGTGGTGTGAATGCTGGATTTTTGTGATGCTCTCTTGTATAAGCATGGGCATAGTTCTGGCATGTGGTTATGTTGTGTGGAATCAGGTTGATACTTTCAAGGGTTGCTTGTAAGGGTGGAGGACAGGTCCGCAGCAGCGTTCGCTGTGGCTCCCTTGGCCCCATCAGAGTGCAGCACCCTTCTGTCGAGTCTGCCTGATGCCTCAGGTCTCCTACTGGTCTGCTGGGAACACAAGCTGTTTGCTTTCCCCATTGCAGTAGTTCTTTGCCCTCACCCTTGGGTAGTTTCCTCTTCTGTGTGCATAGGTCAGTGCTCAGCAAGAGACTTACGGGGACCCTCTGCAGATCCCCGGAGCTTTCAGAATCTTTGCTTGCCACCTGCCTGCCCTGTTCCTGCTAGATGCCTGGGCCTCTCCAGAGCTGATCTCTGTCTTCAACTTGGCAAGATTTTTTCGTCAGCTTCTTCCTCCTTGCCCTGCAGCCTGGAAACTCCTTCACTCTGTCAGCTGGGTAACCATAGGTGCATCTTGATTTTTTTCCCCCTCCTTCCGGAGATTATAACTCCACCCTGCTTGTTGCCCAGTGTCTGGTAACCATTGTTCTATATTGTTTGAAAGGAGGAGGGTAAAGTACGTTTTGCTAACCCACCATGGATGGAACAGGAAGGTTCTCCTCATGGGCAAGGCACACCTGTGATGTTCCTGTGACATTTGACTGTAGTAAAGTCTACTGAATAGAAGGACGCTTCACAGAAGCCACTTTAAACCATATATGACATGCTTTGAACTGTTTTTCATTTTTTAAAAGATAATTACTAATATTAAGGAAAAAACTTAGGTAAAAATTTAATCTTATAAACCCCCAGTTCTAGTGCTGTCACTGTTTTCATTGTTGTATATTGGCCCACAGGTGAGCATAGTTCACATAGCTATAATCATGGTATCCTTCTAGTTTGTGTTTTGTGGAACCTTCACGTTATAAATTTTTGTGCTTAAGTCTCTCTTAGTATGTTATTTTGCGTACCATAATTTTATACATAAAGTATTGAGGCATATAGGGCATTTTGAAAAATTTTGTGTTTAAATTTGGTAACTTAGAGAGCTGGGGGATATAGCTCAGTGGCCTAAGTGCCTGCCTGACAAGCATGAGGTCATGAGTTCAATCCCTGGTACTGCAAAAAAAAAAAAATTTGGTAACTTAGAAAAGAATCTAAAAAACCAATGTTGTTTCCAAAGGAAATGCATTGCTGAGGTCATCTGGGTGCCTGTTACTAAGGAACAGAGCTGACAGGGTGTTTTGGAGAAATGATCCGTGGAGTGAAGCACCCCTCTGAAAATGTGAGGCAGCAAGGTTCAGCCCAGCTGCATACATATTTAGGGCCCTGTCATTAGAGAGCTTATGGTCTTGTAGAGGATCTAGTAAAAACCAGCACATCTAAATAAGTGCGTTGAAAAAGACACATTTGACCTGCTGAAATGTTTCTTTATTACATGAGTAAATTTGCATATTCACTGCGTAGAGCCTGATTTCACATTGTAAAGCTCTAGCTTGGAACCACCCCAAGTTCCCTTGTATATTACAAAAGCAGCATTCTAATAATATATTTTTACCCCAGCTTCCATCTTGTCTTCTCTGCCATAAAATTGCATGTGTTTGTAAAACTGAGGCGCTGCTAGAACAAACACAGATCTGCCAAATGAGTTTGTTTCCCCGTCGCAGCCACAGGTCCTCCCTGGGATAGAAACACTGCGGCTGCTGCGCTTCATGGCAGCTGTGGGTCAGGAGTGGGAGGTGATGGTCCCCGCGGTGACGGTTCTGTGCAAATGGTCACACGTTTCTTATTGACAGTCAGGCCCTCTTTCCTTCCTTTGGGAGTGTCTTGTTCATTGATTCATTTATTTGGGAGGCACTCTATTAAAATTAACCTCTGTGCTGGACACTAATCATAAGAGTGTTATATATATTAACGCATGTAATTCTCACAAAGACCATGTCCTATAGGTATTACTGTTACTCTTCAGTAGCCGGAAAGGGCTGACCCTGACTGCTGACACCTGGCTTCAGAGACCACTCTCTTTGCTCCCTTCTCAGCCTCAGCACAGGCTCGTGGCGTCTTCCTTCCAGGCTCACGTTGCTGCCCTGTCACTCACAACTTGAACATGTGGCTTCACTCAGCTGCGGGTGTCCTCTGAGTCTTGACCTTTTTCATTTATATGATACGTTGCATATAATCTGTGTCCCATGCACCCGACACATGCATCTAAATTCCTCACATATTCACCTCTCATTAGCTGCCCATTCTTTTAAAATACACGCTTGAAGTGACCAGCAGGTGCTTGTTTTTTTAAGGAGCACTTGTGCTTTTTTGATCTCTTTTCTAAATGGTACAGGTTTTTTGTTTGTTTGTTTTAGTACTGAAGATTGAACCCAGGACCTTCATATTGAGCTACATCCCAGCTCTTTTAATTTTGACACAGAGTCTTGCTAAGTCACTAAGTTGTCCTGCTGGGTTCGAATTATTGTGATCCTCCTGCTTCAGCCTCCCAGAGTGCTAGGACTATGGGCATAGACTGCCAGGACTGGCTGCGTAGTTACTTTGCTGTGTGGCCCTGGAGATCATAGCTCATGGAGGATGCGTCCATTTTTTGTATTTTTATCATCTCTTCTCCTGTGAGTAAATTTGGAAAAGAGAATTTGGTCAGACAGAGAAGAGTCTTCCTGTTGATTCATTTTGCAGGTCACACAGTTAGGTCAGAGGAGCAACAACAGATTACTCCTTGATTGGAACATGATCATCTTCTAACTAGAAAGATTCTGTCTTAGTTTCTTTTCCCTCATTGCTGAGATAATACCTGATGCCCAAAGTTAAGGGAAGCAAGGTTTATTTAGCTCACAGTTTGTGGAGGTTTCAGTCCATAATTTACTGGCTGCAAGGCAGAGTGGCACATGGCAGAGGGCAACAGTTTATGGTGGTGGAGGACAGCAAAAAGCAGCAAGTGGGGGGCTGGGGATTTAGCTCAGCGGCACAGCGCCTGCCTGGTAAGCGCAAGGTCATGAGTTCGATTCCAGGTACTGGGAAAATAAATAAATAAATAAAAATTTTTAAAAATTAAAAAAAAAAAACCAAGCGGGGAAGACAAGACTCTTTCTGTCCCTTACGTTGTATGCAGGCTGCCTGCCCTAGAGCAGGTGTAGCACTCACATCCTAATCCTAGCCAGAACTATGCCAAACCAGTCAGTGGACTGATTTACTGATCACACACCCTTAATCCCAGCATCACACACTCTAGATTCTGCCATCTCTGAAAAAGCCCTGTGACTGCATGAGGCTTTGGGGGACATCTAGACACAAGCCATAACAAATTATTTGTCCTGTTTGTCTGAATTTATCTCTTTAGATGCAGGAAGATACATTACAGCAGGAGGGGACACTGACTTAGCCAGTCAGTTCTACTAATTTAGCCCTGACCACTAGGGAAATGGTAAATATGACACCCATTTCCCTCACATTCTTACCTTATTGTAACTTTTAAATGAATATTAAAAACTGAGTGTTGGAACCCTGTTAGCCTGGTGTGTGCTAGGAGTGGTAGAAGGACCCCAAGGCAAAATAGAAGTATAGTATTTTGATAGAAAGTAATAAGTTAGAGAAAAAAATTCCCAGAGAAAATTGTTGAATGAGTTCTATAAGCCCTTATATACTTTTTTAAAGTGAGGATGTTTTTTGAAAAAGATTGACAGAGCTATTGTCTGCTTATTCTAATAGTACTATTCTGAGATGTGTCTTTTTTCCTCATATTGGTGTTTTCTGTGAGGAGCTTGACAGGTCTGTGTTCTTTCCTTCTTTACAGTCCTGAGGCTTTCTACCAATGCGGGCCAGTGGAAGGAAGCAGCTAGCAAAGTGACCCATGCACTGGTTAATATCAGGTAAGGAATCAAAATTTCGCTCTTTCAGAGTTCCATGGCTCATCCTTAGTTGTACTGTACCTTTCTAAATAGAATACACTGAGCAGCACTATTATTTTAAGCCTTGGTGTCTGTAGGAGTGGAAGAGATTGTTGTACTGGATCAAGAAAAGCAGGAATACACAGGGCTTTCATTTTGGCATATTAAAATAGCTCAAAGTGCTGGCTGTTCTGTGAATCTTCTACCAAGAGTTGGTTGCAAGCCCTTTTCAGGCGTACTAGCTGCCAGCATATTTTCTGTGTATGAGCCATGGGAAGGTTTTCTCTGAAGATTTCTGCTGTTCTCTGCAACTTTAGTGCATGATTCATGGGAATCTAGGACTTTGACATTTCTATTCATGGCCTTCTCTATTTGTGGTAAACAGAATCAGGTGGAGTCCATGGGGCTAAGTCATCGTGGGTTACTTAGGAGAGAGCAAAGCAGTTACAGAGTACACACTGTTGGAGGTGGTCAGTCTGGAAGAAGCACTGCTAGGATACTCACAGCAGTGAGCTGTCTGGGAGTCAAGAGGAGACTTCATTACTATGAAACCTAAATACGACTTTTCTTTCACTCTTTGCTCCCTTTGTGTCTGTGATTTTTCATTTTCTCAACAGTTATTAAATTGGTTTTGCAAACAATTGCAAAAATTAACATTGAGTAAAAGAGGCAAACCCAACAGATGGAAAACTTGATTTAGCTCCAGATGTCAGCCTTGCCAGCCATGCTCGTAAAGCAGTGCACATTTACAACTCGGTGTAGATTCTAACGTGTAACAGGGCTGAGATGGGGTGTTTGTTTCTGTATTTTTGTTTTTGTGGGGTTTTTTTTTGCTCTTTCTTTCTCTTTCAAAGGCAAAATGTCCTGTCCCTGCAGTGACTCATTACCGTGTTTGGTACATGGGGGAATAAGAGGCCGTGTGAAATGTGCGTGTTAGGTGGGCTGGGCTGAGGGGCCATGGGTGAGATGTGCTAACAGGATTGTGTGAAGGTTGGACTGCCTTTCCTGTTCCCAGAGACATTTTGCAGCAAAACACAATTTTATAAAGCTCACAAATAAATGCATTTTTGCACACAGCAGATAATCCAGACACTGTGGTGACGTTTTCTGATAAATAAATTTCTGCAAGAATCAAGAATTATAAACTGTCTTCTCCAAAATATCCCTTTGTGACCCAAGGGCAGTATGACAAATGTGGGTGTTTGAATGCAGCACAGGTTCTGGGCTAGAGCATGCCGTGTGTGTGGTGTACTTTCTGTTATGTTTATTTATCCGTGCGTTACACACTGCACGTGGCTCCTTCTCAGCTGGGACCTGTCTCCTTCACCGCATTTTCTCTGCTTGTTTTATCAGCTGCTTTGTGGCTTTTCCGATCAGTGGTTTCTGGGTTGGCTGTTCTCTTTATCCTTCCCAAGGGCCATCCAGCAGCTGATTTAAGCTTTTGGCCTCTTTTCTGGGTAGCCAAGAAAGAGCTGGGCTGAGCCTTGGGAAAATGCCTGTGATCTGACCCCTTCCTTCTCTTTGTATGACTCTGTCAGGCTCTTACTTTCATTTTCATTTCTCAAACTTCTCTGGTGAGCTTGCTGCAGAGAATAACGCATCGTTTTCACTGTTGTGAATGAGTTGTAGTATATGCCTGAAGTAGAAGAGACCAATTCCATTTCTCAGTTACTGGAAAAATGTGTTTGTGTCTTCTCACACCCGAGTTTAGATCAGGGGAGAATACTGGTGACCCTAAGCACAGACGTTCACCATGCTCCTTTCTGACCTTTCTTCTTGCTCAGTGCCAGACCTTGTGCTGACCTTTTTCATACTACTTGAATTTTCAAACTCTAGAGTGTATTATAGTTCTTAAAATAGCTTTTTACCCTCAAGGAAAGTGAATCTGAAAGACTGTGAATGGTGGCAGGTCCTGCAGTTGTGTGGCAAAGCCTAGCGCTCCTTCTCTCTGTGCCTTGCTGCCTCCCCCAGCAGGGCTGCAGGGAAGGCACTGTGGAGGTCGGCGGAAAACTTAGCATGAGGTGTTGAGAGAAGCATGAAAACTTGAGTCAAAAGACTAGATTTCTAAGTTTTGTCTCTACCATTTTATTATGTGAGCTTGAGCAAATTGCTTAGCTTCCCTAACCTCTTTCTGGCATCTGTAAAATGGGAGAGGTGGTGATAACTAGCTCGCAGAGTTGCTGTTACAAAAATAGACAATAATATATATCAGAGTGCACATTAAATTGTAAAGTTCTGGTCATTTCACCAGCAAAATGTCTCCAAGCTCCATCCCTCAGGTAGCATATGTAAGAATTTCCTTCCGTGGCGGGTGGCGGGTGGCACATACTTGTCATCCAAAAGCTTTGGGAGGCTGGGGCAGGAAGAGTGCAAGTTCCAGTCTCACCTGGGCAACTTAGTGAGACCTCATCTGAATGAATGAATAAATAAATAAAGGCTGGGGATGTAACTTTGTGTGAATGCCCTGGGTTAAATCCCCAGTACTGACCAAAGAAAAGTTTCCTTCATTTTAAGCTGCATACCATATAATTTTCCCTTTTATGTACATACCACATTTTGTTTATCTGTTCATCTGCCAATAGACACCTGAGTTGCCTCTGCCTTTGGGTTCTTATAAATAATGCTACTATGAACATAGACAAATATAGGCTCTATACATAAGAAATGTTACTATGAACGTGGGCTTTTTTTTTTTTTGGTACCAGGAATCAAACTCACAACCTCGTGCTTGCCAGGCAGGCGCTGTGCTGCTGAGCTATATTCTGGTCCTGAACACGAGCTCTTAAGATTTTTTTGAGACGTGGTCTTACTTAATTGCTAAATAGCTGAGACTGAGCTTGAACTTGCAGTCCTCTTGCCTTGCTTACTGTCACTTCTTTTGGGCATGTACCTAGAAGAGGAATTGCTTGACCGTATGGTAATTCTGGGTTTAATTTTTTGAAGATTTGCCATTTTTTTTAGGCTTAGCATTTTGAGCCTTCCTTAGCCTTTCCAAAGTTCTTCTTCATTTTTCCCTTTTGTAAAAGTTGTCACCTTGACCTTAAAGAATGTCTTGCTTGTCCTTGTAGGTGGGCCTTGATAGTGTTGGATGAGGTGGTGCAGGAATTTCCTTTTCTCACAGTCAGGTTCTCTTAACTGAGTGTGGGGGATGCCTGAACAGTCTGCGCTCCATGAGCTGTGTGGTGAGTGCTGCCTTAGGTTCCTTTGCCTTTCTTTAAAAGTTTGCATTGTATATGCATAACATATACTACCTTTGGATTTGACAGAATAGGAGCCCATGTCAGGAGATACGATCTTTGCATCTCTCATGGATGCTGTAGGATATTTAACTATTAACCAACAAGTTAATTATTAAGAAGAGAATATGTAAATGCTCGGGAAAATTGTGATGGTATACATAGCTTATTTCTGCAGTTATAAAGGATATTTATAAATCTGGAAAGGATTTCTTTGTATTTTTTGTTTTGTTTTGTTTTGTTTTCCGGTACCAGGAATCGAATTCTTGACCTTGTGCTTGCCAGGCAGGCGCTGTGCCGCTGAGCTAAATCCCCAGCGTGCCCCCCCGAAAGGATTTCTAAGTCAAAGGGATAGAATACTGATCACCTCTCTTTATAGTATGTTCTTTGATAGCCACTTGGAAGGGATCGGGGTGCATATGAAACTTCTAGATATGTGGGTTGGGAGGCCTCCCTGACAGGTTTGCTGGTTGACAGCAGCTCTGTCGTCATGATCACCCAGGGTGCAGGGCATCTAATGACCACCTGCACAGAGTCTCCCCAGCAGAGGAAGGGGAAGAATGCTGCAGACCTTACGTTCTTTGGAACTTAGATTGTGACAGTGGAAATTAAAAGTATTTACGTGTGCTAGAGGCTTAAATTGTTCAAGTGTCAGTCTCTTTAATTTTCGTTTGCCTTTCACGGCTTAGTCATGCTAGTTCTTTAATTGTCAGAGTTATTTGTGTTTAAACAATTTCTCTCTTTTTTCTCTCTTCCTGTTTGATCCTTTTGTGAGATTTTAAAATGTAGCTGCTTAGAAACTGCTATTTTTATTGGAACACCTGATGTTGTCACCAAGCAGCATATATTTTTCTCAGCGTAGGAGAATTGTTTCATTGCTTTGCCCTAAGAAAAATAAGGTACACTGCTCTCCCTTTAAGGTACCATGTTTTGGTATAATTGGTGGTTCAGGTGCGTGCACATCTAATCCACAAAGGAAGAATACTTTGAGGGTTCATTGCAGTGCTGGAAGGGAAACATTTGGGAAGTTTTGGTAGTTGACTCCTATGGTAAATATTTCCTGCTACCAGTTAGCAGGCCAGCCTAGTGAAGTCTTGTGGTTTAGGAAAATATCTGATTACTAATCTAATTAGTCAAAAATAATGTTAGACTAAAATCTGACCTTCATCTGGCCAAATGACTTTTAAGGTAAGTAATTTGAGGCTCTTAATGAATCTTCCCAAGTTAATATGTTAATGCTTTCTGCTTAATGAGCATTTTATTAGCATCAACTTCAAAATCCTATTCTCTGACCGCTCATGGAAATAGCAGAATCACTACAAATAGGTTTTTCTCCTAATCTGTAATTTTCTTGAAAGTGGATAAGGTTTTGACTCTTGATCATGTATTTTTCCCTTTATATGGAATTTATTTAGGTGAACTTTAGCTTTTCATTAAGAATGATTTTTTAGGTATTGCTGTGGTTAGTTACAAGCTGGGGGTTGGGAATGATAATTTAGTGTGTTTCTTTTTAAGTCTCTTAATAGCTCATGTAGTGAGATTGCCTCCAGTCCCTGTTTACTCCGTGGTCTTTTTGTTCAAATGCTGAGGTGGTCCTGGTGCTCTTTCTGCTACCTACATTATTTCTCTTCACCCACCACCCCAAAAGGAAAGCTTTGAGTGTACACTGCTGGGGAGGCTAAAGAATAAGAACAGCTATCAACATAATTTCAGCTTTCGAGATCAGAGAGTTCACTGAGCATAACA